TTCATAAATAAAGCATATCTTTTGAAAAGGTGTGAAAATGACCCAAAATCCATCAAAACCATTGGCTATAGCCCGTGCTTTTTGATTGAAAATGGCCAAAAATGACCTTTTTTCATTTTTCATAAATGATTGATATTTTCTGAAAAGGTGTAAAAACAGTCCAAAATCGATGAAAACCATGGGCTATAGTCCATGCTTTTTACCTGAAAATGGCCAAAAGCGATGCGTAGAAAGGATGCGGGCGATAATGGTGACATGCTTGAAACTCTATTTTTTCTTCTTAATACCAGTTTTAAACGACAATTCCTGGTAGACTGGTGGATCATCGCGGTTCGCAAGTGCAGTATAGATATGTGTATCCATTTCTTCTTGATTCCTTACAAGGCCATCATCTTTGCTTGTCTGGAGCGTTGTCGGGCTTTCTTTGTCTCGATTGAGACTTTCACGATAGTCTTGCTGCTGCTCGTGTACTACGTCATCGAGTTGTCGTCCTGATGTAGTAGCACCTCCTGACATCTCAACAACGTTCTTTAAAGAATGTAAATATATAAATTAAAGGTACTTAAACTCGACGACGGGTAAATTTTAAGTACTTTTATTGCTAGTACGACTTCACATACATCACATGACCACATACGAATCAGTGGTATACGTAAAAAAAAGGACCTTGATATCAACATCCACAATGATTTTCGTTGAAAACTAGTGATTGTCTTCGAAGCACGAAGCCGCAACTGGGGAAGAGGGGTGGGGTCTTTTTACAATACAAAATAGGCTTTAAGTTAGTTGAAAAAGGAATATGAACAATATATGGTCGAAACCACTCCCCATCCTACCCCCCTTCCCTTACAGACAAAAATAACTGAAAGCCAATGCAAGATCTGTAAAAATATATATATAAAAGATGACATACTTCATAAATCTGCTTGTCTGTGCCTTTGCTTCGTTCTTTCCTTTAAACAAATCAAATATTTAAAATGTTGAACTGATAAGCTAGAAATTGAGGCTCAATTACAGAAATGTTGGCTCACAGCCATTTATAAAACTTTTATATACAAACCTCTCATTCATCTCAATTTCTAAAGGAAAGAATAAGCGTACACGGATTAGTATGTGCTAGATAGAGATTGTTGTTTTCTGGGATCGTTATCGAGAACGGAGAACGATTTTCGTGTATTTTTGGGCTGTAAGTTTATTAGGCATAAGAACAAAACAATAGGCCTTTTGCAACGACAGCTCACGTGACCCTACCCCCTCCCCCCCTCCCGTAAAAAGGGACGTTGTGTCAAATTGAACAACAGAAATGGAAAGAGCACCTCAATATTAGTAAGAAGGCCAGTTTTAGCCCATAATGTTGACTATGGGAGAAATGGCAATAAATATAAAATCGAATATTTTATAAGGATTTGTATGGGTAAATGTGCTGGAGGGCATAGACTATTTGTTTCTTTGTTTCTTTGTTTCTTTGTTTCTTTGTTTCTTTGTTTCTTTGTTTC